GCAAAAGGATTTTCATGATCTCAGGACTTGGGAAACTGTATTAGAGTGGTTCCTACGTGTCTCCTTTGTGGAATTTGTGTCTTTAATGTCTTTACTATTGCAACAAACAACACAGCTTCACTTCCACATACACAAAAAGACACCTGGGTTTATGCATTGCAGCTAATTTGTTAAATGACAAGTGCTTATGAGCAGATTATATATATATATATATATATATATAATGTCTTCAAAAGTCATCAAACCAATGCAGGGTAGAGGTAAACATTGTTTGTTTGTTTTTTTCCCATAAAGAGAAATACAGGTATGACCTGGCTCACTGCACTGATTAATGCACAACACTTTGTGACACCAACAACAGATCAAAATATTAATCGAGCCATCAGGACTAACAAATAAACAGCCAGCAAAAAAAATAAATAAAATAAAATGTTCACAACGTTAACTCACCAATCGCCCCCATACTCCAACACATGCACAAAGAGTGGAGTGTTCCTTTCTGTATGCAGCACCTGCAGCATTACTGCAACTCAGCACTGTGGTCAGAGGCAGATTGGCTTTTTCAGCAAACTGGAGATAATTCTCCATTTCCTTCAATAAAGAAAATATTACACACACACACAGAAACTGCAGTGTAAGAAGATACAGAAATCTCTCTGCCTCCTCGTAGAGTTTTGTCATTTCATTGGACTTTCCTTTCGGTTAATTGGACAATTATAGCTTTTTTTCCAGGGACAAAGAGAGAAGAAAAAATTACTTTTACTTTCCCTAAGTGGCACGTCCTTCATGATCCTCCGTCTAATGACTCTGTGTTCTCCTATACTTTCCTAAGCCCCTTGTCTTCCGCAGTCCCTACTATCAATAGTGCTTTCAAAGTCCTATTTTGTAATTCCTCTCTACATTCGCCCTGCGCTGCCATTCCAAATCAATGTCTCAGCCAATTTTGGTTCTCAAATAGTCACTAACACATCAACAAACACCAAGAGAGAACGGGAGAATAAGAAAGGAGGATGCACAATCAATCTAACATGCGCGTGCACGCACATATGCTGACACATATAGTTGTGGGCTGAAAGCAACCTTTCCTCTGCTGTGCTGTGCAGACAAATATGAGTCGAACAACCAGAGGCCAAAAAACACATCAAGAGCAAAAAAACATTGGAGGAGAGGAGGAAATAAATAACGCATGTTTGAAAACATCTTTTTTTTTTTTTTTTTACACTTTCACATATGTTTAAAAAACACAATTTACTATTATATAATCTTGCTTTGGTGTATTTTATTTAAAATTTAGAAATTATTATTTGTTTGTAATAAAAATAACGGGGCTCACATTTAATTTAACAGAAATGAAATCCATGGCAGAAAAAAATAAATAAATTGCAACTGCATAGTGTTATTACAGTGAACCTTATTTAATCAGTTTAATGGTGTCTCTAATCTCTCCAGCAGGTATCATAAATCTTGCACACAATATTCTCTATCATTAAACAATCTGGATATGTATTACAAAGCTACAGTCAGACAACCCCAAAGTCAAATATGGGAACGTGCAAATGTTTAGGAATTGTTTAAAGAAAAAATATGAAGAAATTAATAAGTAAAAAGTGGAGCTGACCAACATTTCAGTCAACAATTTCAATAAAATTGCTGAAGTTTGATTAGCCTGGATTTACTGAATCAGCTAAGGCGACTTCAGCGCCAGACATAGAGGTAACACAATGCACCTTAAATTGAAATCTATGCATAACAAAAAGACAAGTTTAGCCAAAAACAAAACAAGCAGACAAACAAAAGAGGATGGAAGGACACGAACAGAGAAAAGCTTCCAGAACAGGATGAATAAGAACCATGTATGCATTTAGAGTGGTGACGTTTTGACAATGAACAATCCTTCAGGAATGGTCATTAGGCATTTTGATACTCCAAGGTTTAAACGTCACTGACACAACTTAAATATAATAACAATAATAAAAAAAATAAAATCAATGAGTAACATTTCATGCTGAAAATGAAATGTCACACCAACGTTAAAAATTAAAGCACTTGCTTAGTAGTCTACTATAAGATGACAATTTGTTGTTGTTGGGAGAAAACCATTTAGAATGGAAAAACAACACTTCTTTAGAATATTTTGTAATAATTGGGAAAAGCAGAATAAGGAATAACGGTGTTAGCAAAACATGAACCAAAACAAAATTCTCAGTAATCCCAAAACTTTATTTATAACTTCATTTGGGTGAGTTTAGACGAAGAATGTTTGGTTGTACTCAGCCTGAGTCCATGCTTAAACCATGTTGTTTGACAATGTAGTCAGGGACACTAAAGTTGTATGTGTTTTGTCTTTTTTTTTATTTATTCACCTGTTTGTTTACAAGCATGTGTAAAGATCATTAGAAGCAAAACAAAAAAGAATAAACAAATGAGGTGAAGCAGATCATAAGAGTGCAGCATAGTAAATCTGTTTTAAAGTAGGAAATAAAATCTTTGCTATTACACAATCATGCTTCTGATTAGTTTGTATGAGGGTGTCTTTAGAAATAAATAAACAGTGAATGCAACGCAAGGTTAAAGGTTTCGTTTAATGCAAGCCGGTAGAATGAGTCACTGAAAATCAATACTGGAGATGAGTGCTCTACACTATTTAAGGTCGTTCCCCGTTAAGAGGAAAGAAAGTGTTTTGCTACATTTCTTTCAGTGAGTGTGAACTGAAACATATGAAAAACACCATCACCACCATTAGTGAACACACTGAACCAAAACAAGGTGCACAAGCAAAACTCATACACACCCTCCTTTCAATACTATTCCAAATAGGGATATAAAGATATATATATATATTTTCCCCAACATAGATTCACCACACATAAAAGACCCAATTCAATTGTGCTGTGGTTTTGATTCGTTTTAGAATATTTAGTAAGACTTGGTTTAATTGTCTGCCTTGTTTTAATGCACTTGTCTTCTATTTGCCCTCTAATGCATGAGAGTGAGATCATTGCTTTAGAAATACTATAAAAAAAAAAAAAGCTTCAATAATCAAATGATGATTGCTGCGAAGGAAACAATTTAAGATTAATTAACCCCCGAGTGGTTTCAGTGTTGATAGAAAGTCAGCAATCAGCAATCTTGAACAAACCATGGAAGCAACAATGAGCTGTCCTGGAAATCGTTAAGTAAAAAAATAATGTATATATAAGACTTGACTAACCAATAACTGAACTTCAGTAAGCAATGTGACAAGTAATGAACTAATCTTTATACCGCCCTCCGGTGGACTGAGCATACAGATCACTTTAGAGGGAGATGGGCGACATTAAATGTGCAAATTCCAAATGCATCATCCAATCACATTTCCACTCACCCTCTCAATTACTACTTTTTAGCCTGCATCAGCAACCAGTTTAAATGACAATCGCTGAACGCCTCACTGATTTAGTTTTTCCTCCTATAGCATTTCTGTCCACACCTCACCACCAGCAGCAGCATTTCCTTGAATTATTCTGGCACCGATTTATTAAGCTGTGTTACTTTTTTTTTTTTTTTCCAACTGAAATCATAATTCTTGAAAACTGACTGATTAAATATTTATTAATTTAACAAAATAAAATGGTTGAGTTAAAATATTTCGTTTTTGACATTTTGAGAACCAAACAAAAACAATGCATCAGTGCTTTTGTTGTTGCTTAAATAAATCTGGATACATGAGTTCAAATGTTCTTACACTTCTCTGCTCATCTGTGTAGCTTTAATCTCTATAAGCTTTATCATATGATGGCTGACCACATCCTCAACATGCCTTTTTAGCAAGACACCAAAGGCACAGTCCGTCAGTATACCCACTGCACACACACGGTCCACTGGTCACCCTTTCATCATTTGATTGAAGAGTTTGTTTTTATTAAGAAGGCTATACCAGACGCATATTCACTATACATTGATTTAACATTACCTTTACAATTAAATTCTTCACTGAAATTACAGAATAAATATATGCACATTTTTCTTCAAATCGTTGTGAAAGAGAAAACATTAAAAGTGCTTCCTACAAAGCTGTTAGTGGGCGCCGATGGGGGGGAAATCCAGAAGCAATGAGAGGGAGGGGAGGAGGGGTGGGTGAGGAGGGCTGGGAGAGTGTCTTAACAAAGTGCATGGGAATATCCAGAAAAACCCTCAACATTGTCTTATAATTATATTCACAAATGTTTTACCATCTGTTAGTAGGTGCATCCTTGTATTTTTTTTTTTATAGAGAAGCACCCTGATATAGACAGAAGTCCTCATTGATAGTAATGACCATAATTATAAGATATAAAAATTAAATAGAACGCTGAACTTTGAATGTGTTGCAGGATCTCTGTTCGTAATGTGACGTTGCAGTTCTGAGTAAAATTCGCTCACCTCCTCTGCACTGAAGCGAGTGCATGCAGCAAACTGCAGTTCAGTTTGAACATAAGTATTTGTTTTCCTCTCTCTTTTGATAATTTCATTTTTTTTTAAAAAGAAAAAAATATCTGTGCACAGCCTCCAGGTGTTTGTACATCCTAGTAGGGGGGGAAATAGACCAAAAGAAGAGAAAAAAAAAACCAAACAAACAAAAGAAAAACATTAAGGGAGACGTCCAGCTCCCGTTCGTCTTCATAGTAACTAGTAGCATGTTATAGTAACTCCATAAAAAAGGATCTGTGACAGATGTATCACGGTTTGTATGTTTTATTCCCCAGTGCCCCTTTGTGTTCCTCTTTTTGCTCTTTGCAGGGTATATAGAGAAATTTATATAATAGAAAAATAACTGTTGTTGACATTGCTGGCTACTCTGAAAAAAAGGCACTTAATTGAAATATCTGAGAATGACCACTCCTCCAGGGTGATTTTGGGTTGGGGGGCATTGTGACTTGTCATAATATTTTATCTTATATCATGCTGCTTATTCAAATTACAGATTTATAAAATTATTTGTAGGTGATTTATTTTGATGGTGGCAAAATGTTAACTTTATAATATATATAAATGTTTTTTTGTTGTAGTTTTTTTTTTTTTTTTTTTCCCAGTGTGTTAGAGTTGCTAGAACCGGTATGATTTTTCCAAGACTTCGAGGTAATCTGGCTTGGTTTGAAGTTTGGCCCTTAACTCGAGGTAATCACTTTGGGACAGGTCAGGGTAGCAGCCTTTCCCGGCCGTGAAAAGCAACGTCTCCTTCAGCCGTGCATCTTGCTGCAAATCTGGGTACTGCATGCCTGGTGGGTGTGCATGTGCGACATGCATGTCCTTTAATTTGGGTACTGTCCCATACAAGCAGTCTACAAAGCCCACGGTTGGTGTGGGCCGTTGACTGTCAATCATTGTAGGGCACAGCCCTCCATTCTCATGAAATCCTGCCATGTCAGCTGCGGTGTGGTTGACTGTAACGATGGTGTTGAGTTGAGAGTTTGACAAAGCCAGGGTCCACTCTCTCTCTTTCTCTAACAAGGTTCTGTAGCTGCTGTTGCTACTGCAGCCATTGTCTTTCTTTTCTGAAAACTGTACTCTCTCCTCCTCTGCAATCTCCCCCTCTCTTGGTTTATAGATAGGATTGTTACACATCTGAGTCACAGGGTGGGGGATGTAATCATAAACATGTCCATGAGCATGTGCATGACTCGTGTGCGTGTGTGCATGTGCATGTATACTGGGTGTTGGTTTCTCTGGTGTGCCAGTGTTCCCAGCACTGTTTTGCCTTGGTGGGTCCTCAAAAATCCTACATTGCATTTGAATCCCTGTTAGATCTACCTCTGAACGTTTTCGAAATGGCATTGTCTTCCTTCGACGGAGGACAAAGGCAAAAAGCCCAGCAGCGACAAACACAGCTGAGATGAAGAGGATGAGTAGGCTGAGGATGAGAACTGACAGTGGGACCGCACCTCTCCCACCTGCCTCCCCCACGTCAGAGCTTCTTGTGGTAAGATCATCTCCACCTGGCAGAGCTGGAGAGGGGCCTGAGGAATACTTCAGCTCAGGACAGATGACCTCCACCTCAAGTGAACGCAGGTCTTTTCCAAAAGCAAACTCGGGTGTCTTACAAATGACATCTCCCACCACAATGACAGAGGAGAGCTTTTCCAGCCACTGCTTGAAGGGGATGATATTGCACGAGCAATCCCAGGGGTTCTGATGAAGATCAATCTGGACAATGGAGGTCAGATGCTCCAGGACACCATGCACAGGCAGGGAAACAAAATAATTGTTGCGAAGATTGAGACGAGCAAGGTTGGTGCCAGCAAATGCATCAGTAGGGAGAGATCGTAGCAAGTTGTCATTAAGAAAAACCAGCTGGAGGTTGGGCATTAAGGAGAAAGAATGAGGGGGGATTTCACGTATGACATTATACTCAAAATAAAGATAACTCAACATCTGAAGTCCCCGAAACATCCCAGGAGTGAGCCTCTCTATGTCATTGCCATTCAAATATAAACTTTTCAAGTTTGGTAAGTTGATAAAGGCGCCCTCCTGGACATAGGATACCCGGTTGTTTCCCAAATGTAGCAAATCCAAACTAGAGAAGTTCCAGAAATCCGAACGATAAATCTTCTGTATTAGGTTCCCACTGAGATACAATTTCTTGGCATTGAGAGGGCGTGGCAGGAGTTCTGAGATGTTATGAAAGCTTTTCTCTTTACAGTTTACTGTTAAGCCCAGGTCATTGATGTGAAGGTTGCAAATACACCCAGCTGGACAAATAATTGGGATGGGTGGTCTTGTTTGATAACCAGCAACAGGGGGCTGGTTGATACCTGGATAAATGCTACGAGGTGTTGGGGGGTTCTTCGTTGGCCGAGGTCGTTTAGTAGGCTTCACCACTCTTTCCTTGTACTCCACAGAAGAGGCTGTGTTGTGAAAGGAGGATAGCATAGAGGAAGGTTTAGTAGGCCAAGTGTTCTCATTACTGAATGGTACCCGGGGAATTCCCAGCTTGGCCTCAATCTCTGCATCGGAGAGCAGAGGACAGAGCTCGCTGCGCTTTATTTCCCGTAGGTCTTTTCCATGTAAGTGGAATGGGTACTCACAAGTGATCTCTCCCACCAAAGCTGTGTAAGGGATTCTCTCCAGCCACGTTTTTAACTGGACAATTTCACACACACAGTTCCAAGGGTTATCTTCAAGCTGGATTTCCATCAAACTCCGCCCGACATATTCCAGTGTGCCCTTATACGGCAATGTCTTTATTCTGTTTCCTCTCAAGTCTAGGTGTGTGAGGGATATAGACCGAAAAAGATAATTTGGGAGAACAGGGATAAGATTGTCATTTAATATAAGCACTCTAAGTTTGTGTAGGTGCCTGAATGCACCACTTTCAATCCTTTTGATAACATTGTAGTCTGCCTGGAGATATTCGAGACTCTCCAATCCCAAAAATGTGTCATTCCGGAAAACTTCCAATTTGTTTTCATGCAGGAACAGCCGTTTGAGTATTCCCAAGCCATTGAATGCTCCAGCATGGATATCTTGCAAGGCATTGTTACCCAAATTAATGGATATAGCATTGTTAAGATGGAGAAAGCTATTAAAATAAAGCTTCCTCATTAAATTCCTCTGCAGGTTGAGTTTGAAGGGTCGGCTCCATATCTGTGAGATCTGGCTGACATTTGTAAATCCTTTACTGTCACAGTGGACATGAAAGATGCCCTCCTTGACCTCGCAGTAGCAGGGTTCAAAGCAGGGCTCGTCGATCTCCTCAGAGTCCTCTAGCAGTGGGATTGGTGTGGTCCATCCTAAGGCTATGGTGCTCAGCAAGGTAACCCACAGCATCCTCGCTGACACCAACACGATGAAGTTCAGGCTCCAGGGACAGAGCCACTTCACAGCACTGTAACAGAAAACAAAGAAAAACAATAATGCAAAATGTATATGAAAGAAGGTACATGTAAAGTAGTAGTTACACAAGTACACACATTCTTAGATGGTAACGTTTGAAGTGGAAGGTGGAAAAATGTGAGGAAGAGTAGATTAGTTTCATTAGATTGAAAGGTAGCTTTGACATGAATACCAATGAATAAAATAAGAATGTCAGAAAATGCTTCATATTTTGCTATATTGCCAGCTTATTTAAACTAAATGTTAGTCGGACACCCTTTCAGTGGACAATATGATACCCAGAAATGCAAACAAATCTCTGTACTTAGACATGTCAGGTTACTGTGTAGCCAGATACGTCAACTCGTATGCAGCAGATGTGCTGGTAAGGTCGCAATAAATCACAGCAGAGATGCTTATCATCATGAATAAACAATTGGGAGCGGTAGCTAGGGTGAGGGTAATGTTAAGGAGACACTGTCCCCTTTCTTTATTTATTACATAACAGGGGCCAAACTATTTGATTTAAGATGAATTTATGAAACATGTTGGAGTGTAGGTATGGCATAATCATAATTACAACACAGTAAAAAATTAATGGAGCAGGAGTGGAAAAAAAATATATATATAAATATATATATATATATATATATATATATTGTAGCTCATCCTAGACTAAATAAGATCCGAAAAATGTGCTAGCATTTAACACAAAACATAATCAATTTGGCTAAAGGTAATGCAACATTTAGTAAGTGTCAATAAAATGACTGTGGAAGGAAAAGAAGCCCAATAGGTCAAATGAGTCCAATGCTCAGAGAAGACAAAGCCAGGAAAATTTGCCTTGTGTATTTATTTGTTTTTTTTCTTAGCTGAACCGCTCAATATGACAGGATGCTGTCAATTTAAATATTCCAAAATGAGCTATAATATATCCAAAGGACATTAAAAGCTACTTCTGGTTTTCCCAGTCAGTGAAGCTTTTTATTTGGAGAGGATTATAGGAACAATGACATAAGTGAAAAGCACAGTGGGCAAAGCTCCTGCTCATAGCAGCACAGCTGTGGAGCACACCGTTTTAGTATAAAGCCAAATGGTTTTTAAAATAAAACAAAAAATAAACAATTATAGTTGTGATGTCACATGACTCTAAAATTCTACGATCGGGCTTTCTCTTAGGGGGGAAAAAGTAGAATAATAGACAGATAGTTGATTTAATAGTAGATTTCTGCTGAATGTATCCGTGGTGCTGTGTATAAAGTCCTTCCCTGTGTTTCTCTTTACTGATACAAACACACACAGCTTCTTTTTGGTGAAATATTTTGTGCAAACATGTTCAAATAAAGGCGAAAGCGACAGATGAACCGACATAGAATCGCTGTCCATGGTGCTGAAAATGAAAGCCTCAGAAAAGGAAGTTGAAAAAAAGGGGTGAGAATGTTGTAATTCCTCAAAAATATACATCCCAGATGTAAATAAAGAATATCCACAGAGAGAAAATCATCCCTGTAAAAAATGAAATAAAATAGATCAGTCTCCACTCCCTGCTATATGGGTAATCCTCCAGGATTTTATTCCGTTTCGATGTTAGGGATTGAAATAAGCCAGGTGCGAATAAAATAAAAAGCAACAACACGCATAAACAGCAAACATGCGACATAACATAATAATCCCTTTAGTTGATATCAACTGTAGCAAGTATACGTACTTAGTTTTAGCGGGATTCTAACTTCACATGTCCTCCCACGGTGCGTCCTGTCGCTGCCCGGTTCGCACCGCTCCCCGTCCGATGCCGGGCTGCGGAGGGAGAAACAGAAGAAGATATGAGGAGGACTGACTGAGGCCATTAAAGACAGGAACAGAGGGGGTGGGGGGACACGGACGGAGACAGCGAGGCATTGACGAGGGGAAGGAAAAGAGAGGGAGGAGAGACGGTGCATGAGAATGAGGTGAATTAAAAGTGCTGCTCCATCATGAATGCCCACTAGTCCCATGAAAAGGTCCAAACAGGACATTGAGCTATTATTTCACACACACACACGCACAGACACACATATATATATATATAAAGGGTGGGGAGGTGTGTGTGTGTGTGATGGGGGGTGGGGGGTTGTCGGTTACTCCCAATATTCTACAACAGCACCACCACCGTTGTGAGATAAAAGTATAAAAGGAGACCCTGCAAAGACAGCAGGGTGCAGGGTAAATCAGAATACAGTCGTGACTTTGGCTGGAAAATGCAACTGTCGAGCAATCGGATAGATCCCTTCTATCAGTTTTCATTCGTATTTATTAACAGGGCTTGCTGTCCCCGCTTTTGGAAGTCTGTGGCTAAGCAGAGAGAGAGTACAGAAACACGCAGAAACACACACTCACCAGTCTGCACATCAGAATAATACTTCCATACATTAACAGCCTACTTACCTTAGTTTTGTAGTGCGCCTGGAAAGCATCGGGGAAGCAGACTACTAGTTTGAATCTCTTCTGCCTCTTCTCTTTCCTTCCTCTCCTCTTCTGTACTCTCTCTCTCTCTCTCTCTCTCTCTCTCTCTCTCTCTCTCTCTCTCTGAAGCGAAATAGAGGAGAGAAGAGAAATCAAGACGTGATAAGAATGTGATCTCGCCTCCTCTCACTCTCACTCTGGTGATTCAGTCTCTTCTTTTTCTGTATTTTTTCAGTGTTTAAAATACTCGACTTCTGTCTATCCTCCTCTCTGTTGGTTTTCGGAGGTGTAAGAGTGTTTCCCTCTCGGCTTCAGGACTGGGTCTCTGGGCAGTGCAGCATCAGCAGCATGTGGATCATATCAGTTGGCTTCTGCGTGGAAACATAATTAAAAAAAAAAAAAAAATAAAAGCTCTCCTCTGGTCCGTTTCCTTGTCGTGCGTCAGAGAAGTGAAGGACTGAAAGCTGGTGGGGAGGTGGAGGGATGGATGGAAGGAGGGAGGGAGAGGGGTGCGAATGGATGAGGGAACCAGAGGAGAGAGATCTGGCAGTGAGAAAAAGAGGAGGAGGGGGGAAGCCAAAAACGACTGATGGAGCGGAGTGTGTGTGTGTGCGTGTGTGTGAAGGGGGTGGTGGTGGACGGCTGCGCTGTGGTTCTGGATGCTGTCTAGAGGAGAGAAGGAGGCAAAGTGAAGTGAGGAGGAGAGGAGAGAGAGAGTGAGGAGCGCTCTGGCTTCCAAGGCGGGGGCGCGCATCAGGAAAAGAGAAATAAATAAGTAAGAATCACGGGAGCGCGCTCCGTGCCGTGCGCTGCAGGGGAGACTACCGGACCTGTGGATTTTGGAGAGGACGTTCCTCTCTCTGTTTTCGTGTCTCTGCATTTTCATATTTTTAATCATTTTACTGACCTTAATCTGAAAAATAATCTCAAGTCTCCTTCTGGTTTGATGAAGATGACGTTGGCACCCATTCCACCTTGCCTTCTTCTCTCTCTCTTAAAATGTTTTGCTGTGGAGACAAACATGATGGTCACACATCAAAAACAGGGAGGTGGGGCTGAACGTTTCATCTCTTGTGTTCTGGGTGCATGCTTTTCCCAGTCTCGCCTCCAGCGGGCATCACAAGCTCGTGTTGAGAGATATTTTTTTCCCCCACATAGGAGGTTTTTGCAACAGAGAGTTATAATCTTCTTACATCATCTCTGGTAGATCCACAGCTTCACGGCCTCTGTGACACATTAACAGATGTACAGTTTTAGGTTAAGCTCTGGGACTTACAGAGAGCAGAGCTGGACTTGCAGAAGAAGCAGTCAAATAAATCTGCACATAACTTTAAAGTTGCTTCATCAGTTGAACAAGAAGAAACAAGTAAAATGGATGCCTGTCAAACTTTACATTTATGTGTGCTTTCTCATTATTTTATACACATTTTGCTAATAAATTCAAATATTACTAAAATTAAATGACAGTAATAACTTGAAGTAATGCACATCTATGTGTCAGTGATAGACAATGTGTTGGTGAAGACTCTCAACTACTATCACATCAAACTGTGGCTCAACATTTTTAAATATGACTAAGTTAGACACTTTTTGCATCGGCTAAGATTGATTAACTATGGTTGATATTTTTATTAAGACTGCACTTCCTGTGGCTAATGTCTGACAGTTCCATTATTTTTTTTTTCTAATGTTTTAGGACATATTTTGCTAACATACAATGGTAATTAATTCCAATACATTAGTGCCATACTATTAAGCAAATATATCACACTATTCACACTATACAGTGGCGGCTGGTGGATTTTTGTTTCATTCAAAAACGAATTTAATTGAAGAAAAACTACTTTCTCCAGGATTTTGGACAGGAAGGGAAAGTTTCAAGATTGGTCTGAAATTTGAGCAAGTCGAAGGGTCAAGTCCAGGTTTCTTAATTAACGGATGAACTAATGCATGTTTGAAAACATCAGGAACCACACTTGTCACAATACTACTATTTATAATAGTAAGAATAGCGGGTCCAATTGTGGATAAAACTTGTTTAACAAATGACACAGGGATGGGGTCAGCAGGGGAACTGGAGGATTTCATATGACCAACAACTTTGTATAAAATTGGGGGTAAAACAAGTTCAAACTGTTTGAAGACAGCTGAGCAAGGGACAAAGACAGATGGGTCAGTTGTGGACTGAGGGATGGATGACCTAATCGACTCAACAAAGTATCTGATAAAGTCGTTACAGATGTCAACAGAGGCCTCCATGCTGGCAGACCGAGACATGTTGACATGCAGCTCATGTGTACTAATACAGGCAGAGGTTTCAGGGATTGAGGCAGCATGGGTAATGAATGCAGAGGGAAAAAGAGCAGCGGTTTAAGTGTTAAATATCTGACAACTCTTGGCTGGTGTGGGAGATTTAGACTCATGAACAAAAGAGCTTTCGAATGAAATGGGTTTGTGATCCGAAACAATAGCATCCCCAATTTCCATATTAGCCACATATAATCCATAAAACAGAACTAAATCAAGTGTATGTTGATAAGTTGGACCAACAACATTTGGCACAAGGTTAAAAGACTGTATCACATTTAGACTACACCTCCAGATGCAGGAAGAGAGCCACCCGCATCATGAAGGACCCCACTCACCCAGCACACACACTTATTGCCCTGCTCCCCTGAGGCAGAAGGTTGAGGAGCATTAAGTGTAGAACCACTAGACCAGGGGTGCCTAAAGTGGGGCCTGCGGGCCAAAGTTGGCCCGCAAAGCTATTTTGGTTGGCCCACCAAGATGTCCTCATTACTCTAGTAAAATGTCCTTTGAAGAATCAATGTGCTTACATTCAGAGTAGATAATTTATGTATTTTTTAAAAACATTTTAATAATTAATATCTTGATGCATGCTCAATAATCCAGGTGGAAAAATCTAAAAAAGTTAAATCTGGTCCTATGGACATTCAAAAAACAAAGCAAAATAACAGAAAATGTAGAAACGTTTCATCTTTCATCCGAAAGACTTCCTCAGTATGAGGAAGACTGAGGAAGTCTTTTTGATGAAAGACGGAACATTTCTATATTTTTTGTTGTTTTGCTTTGTTTTGTTTTTTGAATGTCCATAGGACCAGATTTAACTTTTTTAGATTTAATAATTAATATTTTTATATTGTATTTTGACAGACTTTTTACCATCCCTCGGCAGTTTCTTGCCACTGAATAACATTTTCCTTTGACAGAACACACTTATAAATCTCAATGTGTTTAAAAGTAATTTGTAAATATGAACTGGTTGCAGTGGTGATTTGAGCCTCTTTAAATTTCAAATCAGCACCCCTGAAAAATAAAAATAAAATCATTAGAATTGTGTAAAGAAACAGTTCTCAAACCTTAGAATAACCAAAATATTGAATAAAGATGGAATAAATGACGACAGTCTCAAAAGGGCCAATACAATTTATGATTTTTTTGCACGAGTCACGCCACCTGTCATATATATCAATCCAGTAGGCACGTCAGCAACGGACCATTTGTCCTGAAGTGAACACATCTTAACTGCAGTGTTGCAGCAGTGTTGCATTACGAACGCTTTGTAGTTGGAGAGATTTCAAGAATAACAGAGTTTACATATTTTGTTTCATGTTAATCTACTTTAATAAACTTTTGTTAAATTCACCAGAATACAGGAAATGGCATCTACTTTAATCAAAATTCTCTGGGGGAGGACCCCTAGAACCCCCTCGCCCCCGCCACCACCAACACTGTTCTGTAATGTTCTGAATGGAAGGTTAAATAACTGTATAATAAGTAAATGGACTTTACTTA